ACTTGTATATCCACCTCTCTCTCAATCCTTAAGTGTGGGATAGCCATGCTTCGGCACGTATGGGCCGGCTCAACCGGATTGATACCACGGCCGAGCAGAAAACCACAGTGAAATGCTTGCGTTTGTTTTGTCGTGAGACGGAGTTTAACGGAGGCCTGAATCCCCAACAATAATCAAATTCACAATCCCTAAAAGGCCAGTAACGCATGTGTAACGCCTCTGGTGTTCCTCGTGTCCGTGGGCGACGCCGATTGCTTACCATCAGGTGATCCGTCTGCTCGTTTACCAGCTTATATAAAAAAGGAAACAAAAATGACATATAAATTAAAAAGATACGTGATCCTTGACAAATCCAACTCGCAAACCTACTTCAAACTACCAACAACTATACCAAAATCCTACCGTACAAATGAAATATGTAAAACACATTAATTTAGAATCCTTTACTCCGAACAATTCACATTTAATCAAAGGCCCTGAAACAAAAGGTCTTCTAAACAAAAGATGTAATTTGACAGAGAATAGCGGTATTTTACAAAAATCGTTGGCAATTCCAAGACAATAGAGACAATTTCTTTGAGATACGGCTGTAGTGACAAATATACTCTTTACCAGCTTTTGTCCTTTACATAAAACGTATTTATCGTTAGAATTTTGGGATAAATCCTTGTTTTTTTTTCATAACTATCGTGAGACATACTAAATTAACTAAAAATCGCGGGTTACTCACGTGAATATACTAATAAAATCTCTACTAGTTTCAACATTGCCGCCACCGCGCAATCTGCTCATGAGGAAGAACCCCTCTGTGGTTCGAAACTAGTAGAGCTTTTCTCGGTATATTCACGGAGTAACCCGCGATTTTTGGAAAAATCCTTGTTTAGTATAGTGTTCCCCTACACTACCCTAGAGCGCTACATGACACACAGCTTTAAATGTGGGAGAGCCATGCTTCGGCACGAATGGGCCGGCTCGACCGGAGTAATACCACGGCTGAGCAGAAAACCGATATGAAACAACGCTTGCATTATGATTAGTCGTATGAGTAAGGTTACCGGAGGCCCAAGTACTAACTCTCCCCCCATTTACCCTTTAATCCATGAATCCCAACAATCCTTAAATTCCTAATTCCCAAAAGGCCGGTAACGCACTTGTAACGCCTCTGGTGTTCCAGGTGTCCATGGGCGACGCCGATTGGTTACCATCAGGTGATTCATCTACTCGTTTACAGACTTATCCCATGAAAAGCTTGTTACTTGTGCTGTGGTACAACAGTACTAGATACGCGTAGTATTATTACTACAACTGGATACAGTCTGTCACTCTCTCAGCACTCTCCAACACTCCCCTAACGCACTACGTGTCACACAGCTTGCTATGTGCAGTATTCACAGTTATATATTGAATAGCTTTTAAAGTTACTAATAATCGTAAGTGCTTAAATACAGCAAATGGAGTGTTGGAAGATACATAGATGCAATGACTGCACGGTTGGCGCGGTCGCTGAGCAACTGGCTGCCGCGCAACGTGTCGCGGGTTCGATTCCCGCACGGAACAACTCTTTGTGTGATCCACAGGTTGTTGTTCCGGGTCTGGGTGTCATGTGTATGTGATATTGTATGTTTGTAAACGCACCCACGACACAGGAGAAAATCCTAGTGTGGGGCAAAGTTAAAAAAAAAATTGATCTGAACACTACGGGAAATGAATAGGGAATAAATAAATGGATTAGATTTCGAAAAAAAGCCGTGTTCTAAATGGCTTTATAACCATCTTCTAAATACTTTTAAACTGGACTACTTATGTAAAATCACGATAAAAATATAATTTGTAACAACAAATTACTACAATGCACGAGCGCGCGAATCATGGCAACGTCTACATGTCATACGGGGCGTGGCCTCCCCGCAAGCAGCTACTCCACCGGCTCCACCGCGCGCCGGCCGGCGCGGCGCCTATAAAACACGACGCCCGGCGTGTGCGCAGCCAGAGTTCACTGCGCTCTCAGTCTGCTTCAACTTCCCTGGTAGGACAGCTCTGAGATCCAGTGTTACGCTACTCATAGCACACGTACGGGGTCCCGCTCCCTGTACTGGACTATATCTCGTTTACTGTAGCCTAATAATAAACTACGTGTCTTAATTAAATTGTGTGTTTGTTCGTACAAACCTGCTACAAATTTATAATACTGAAAGTCTGAAACTCAATTTTTCAGTTCAAAGATATTCTATCATTAATATTGTTATAAAAGGAGAAGCTAGTGGAAATAATGTTTGGTAGACTGCCATTTTAAGTATGTCAAGGTTAATATATCAGCCGCGGAAACTTAACGGGTTGCCGGGGCTCCGGCTCGAAGTGCAGGAGTAGGAACGGGGTGGTTTTTAGTCAGTAAGAGTCTGACACTCCCTCCCGCCTCACCTGGACAGGAGAAGTAATTTGATGATTTTCGCCCCTTGAAAAAAGGTTAATATATTAGAGTTAAACTCACGGTCAATATTTTAAATCCTTACATTGAGCTTATGGCGATCAAAGCGCATGTCATCTTCGTGTGAGAAGATACCTGCCAGTAGTGGTACAGTTCAAAACTGATATCATTATTTTTGATTTGATAATATACATTTTCTGTAAATACATATAAGTCGGGTTTTCCTTCCTGACGCTATAACTTTAGTACACATGAATCGATATCCACGGTTTTGCATTCGTTGGAAAGGTCTCGGGCTCTGTGGGGTCCAAAACACACTTTTAATCACCAAACGAAATCCTTACTTCCTTACTAATATTATAAATCGGAAAGTGAGTTTGTTTGTTTGTTTGTTTGTTCCGCTTTCACGCCGTAACTACTAAACCGATTGCTTTGAATTTTTGCAGACGTAAAGTTAGAAGTCCGGATTAAATAATAGGGTACTTTTTATCCCGGTAAAATGTGATATTCCCGGGGGAAAACAAAAGTATTGGTATAGATGGCGCTGTGTGTATTGGTATATGTCACATAGGTTACTTTTATCAATTTGTGACGCGAGCGAAGCCGCGGGTAAAAGCTAGTGTTACATAAAACGAAGCCATCTGGTGGCGAAATGGAGTTCGCCGGGTTTGCTAGTTTTGTATATATGTATATATATATAGTCATTCTTACCGATTTCGCTAACGGCGACCCTTAACAGCTACTCCTGTCGTGTGCCCTGATGTGACTGGCCAGCCTGAATTTAGCTTTGAAAATTCGATCACAACTAGAGCAGTAAAGTAAATCCTTTATATCCTTTGATAATAAGAAGTATCTGTACAGTCACTGGATGCAGGTCGCTTCCAACCGGCCTATCTGGATGTCTTTGGGAGAGATCTGTGTTCCGCAGTGGACGCCTTCTGGATGGTATGATGTTGAGTTTCTCAGTCCATCATATTAGCCCACAGAGACGGTATAATAAACTGTTTTAATTAAGTCCGTTGTTCAAATTTACACAAATCTAAAAAGATCAACATTTTATGAAACTTCAAGCATTTTAATTGTAAATCAACAGTGGCATGAACTATATAATGTTTTTATTGTTTTACTCTTGACTTCCACCGCATTGATTTGAATAATTTAAATTGGGTATATTTGAGTTCCAGTATTTTTCTCTTTTTTTGTTTGAAATTCTAAAAAAAATGAGCTCTTTAGCTTTAGAGACAAAAGAAAATAATGATACCTTAAGATGTCTACGATAGTCGATACCAATCAGTGAAAGACAAAGAAACTGGTCAATTCATAGCTTTATTTTGAGAAGGGTAACACTATTATTAAAAAAAACAGAAGTGCGACTGCAAAGGGTCTCGGGTTCGATTTCCGGGTAAAGTAATACTGGGTTTTAAAAAAAATCTCATTTGTTGCACATAGTCTGGAATTGTGCCCGGTATATGGCAATAGGCTCACCCCCTACATGGGGCTCATAACATAAATAGTGAAATGTAGGTGTTACATTGTACAGTGGTATTAAGTGCTGTAATGTGCACTTCTGCGTACCTTCGAGGATAAAAGGCGTAATGTAATGTTATGTTATGATTATCTTAAGATTAGAAAACAGATGCTGCTACACAACTCAACCCTTAAGAAAGAGAGCAATAAAGAAACGTATGTAGTACTTTCAATGCCAAGAACGCTTCAACAATATGTCACAAACGCCTTAGGAAGACATTACCCTACCATATTACCCCTATTAAAGGGTATAATAACATTAGGGTAATATGTTATTACTCTATGGGGAACCTTCCATTTTTACTCGAGACGCTACAAAACATGCCTATTTTATTAATAGATAGATGTGTATATTGCCTTATTATTCAAAGTGATTTTGCTAAACTAAAAGTTTTGTTTCGTACTTACTATATTTTTTTTGGCAATAGCCGGGAAGAAATGGATCACCTGATGGTAAGCAAACGGCGTCGCCCATTGACACCTGGAACACCAGACCGGCCGCTGGTGGTGCGTAACCGGCCTTTTGGGGATTAGGAGTTTGAGAATCGTTGGGGATTCAGGAATTGGGGATATTGATCATCATAATCGACAGCCTATAAGTGCCCACTGCCGAGCAAGGCCTCTTCTCACACGGAGAAGGTTTATGCATTATTCAGCACGCTTGTTCAATACAGGTTGGCGATTACAAACTTATAATTAGAAATTATAAGCTCAGGTTTCCTCACGATGTTTTTCTTCACCGTTTGTCAGTGGTGTCTAAATAATCTTAGAAAGTACATATAACTCGGAAAAAGTCACATTGGTACTTGTGGTTGGTAGGTTTTGAACCGCCCTTATGCATGAGAAGCGGGCGTCATAAACCTCCGGGCCACCATGACATTTTTTTGTATTCAACCGCTACAAAATGGTTGAAGAGATCTGGGATGCAATTTGAAATATGAGTAGTTTATGGTTTTTAATATTTATTTATTTATTTAAGACTTAGTATAGTAATTGTAGTGTTTGTAGAATTATATGGTTCTGTCGTCTCATGCGTACACGCCGCGCGCTATAGTATAGTGGGGGAGCGGGGCACACCCCCTCCCTCACTCACTTTGCTTGGAGCCACGAAGCTGGACGGACGCGCGTGCGGCGAGTTAGGCAGTGAGCCGATATCAACCAAAGTGCACAAACAGTACATTTGGCGACGAGTATTGTAAGTACTGTGTTTTTGTTCTGACTGAAAAATTG